CCCCAAAACCCCAAAACCCCAAAACCCCATTTTATTAAGCGAAAACTGAAAAATAAGATATAACAACATGGAATCTGAAACAGAGTTCTTTGATATCGGTAGTAGAGGAAACGTGCATGATGACACAGTTGAATTTGATGACATAGAGCTTGTAGAAGACAACCAAAATGTCAGGCTTATCAGGATCAGGGTCTGGTACGATGATTTCGTCTATGGAATTCAGACAGTTTACGAAACAAGCAATAATGGAATCTTAGTATCCCCAAAAAGATTGGGAGCTCAAGCTGAAACCTGGAATCTTAAGTATGAAGAAGTGTACTTCAATAGGAATGAGAGTGTTGTAGCTATAAAAGGGAGTCATGGAGAGATCATTGACCATGTTATCTTTGTTACAAGCCAAGGTAGAGAAATCCGTTTTGGATTGTCAGATGGAGGTGATCCATTTGATTTAGAAATCCCTGAAGGAGTCTGTGTTGGGGCACTTAAGGGAGGATTTGGAGGGCACCTTCATAACATTGGATGCTATACTATCCCTCTAGCTCAACCATTCCAGTATCAATACTCTTATAATGCTAAGCAGAGAGTTGAGAAGCAGATATCAACAGGTCAGACTCATGAAGATACAAAGGAATATAATGATGTTGAATTTTTAGAAAATACCAAAGGCCAGCACAGAATTGGCTCAATCAAAGTCTTTTATGATGACGAGTTTGTCCACGGTCTTGAAGTAAAGTATCTAGAAAATGGAAAGGAGATCCAAACTAAAGGAATAGGCCATGAATGGAACAAGGAAGATCATAAAGCTAAAAAGATCATGCTCGCTTCTGACGAATGGATCACAAATATCTATGGCTACTTCGGAGACATCTGTGATTTACTAGTCTTTGAAACAACCAAAGGCAGAATAGAGAAGTTCGGAAACTTAGAAAAAGAACCAAACTTTAACTTTGAAATTCCTGAAGGAGAGGTTGTATCTGGAATATCCTTTGGAATTGGGGGTCATTTACACAACCTGACTGCTTATTATGGTAAGGAGCCGCATATCTTTAAGTTTGATAATCAGCCACAAGCCAATGTTCAATATTCGATGTTGCAAAGTAGCACTGATGTAGTTGGCCCTACTCATAAAGATACAACTGCCTTTGATGATTGGGATAAGCTAGATACAAGTAATCTCACTACTCGTCTCAAGAAGGTCACTATCTTTTATGACAAAGATAAGATCATCTATGGATTCAAACTCAAGTGGAACGCCAATGAGGAAGAAGTTGAAGGAGAAAAGCATATAGGTAGTGAGTATTCTGGATTGTTTGTCCATGGAGACAAGGATTCTTTTAAGTTAAAATACGATCAATACATAACGAAGGTTTATGGAAAGGTCGAAAACCAAGTTAGAAAGCTAGGATTTGAACTTAACACAGGAGAAATTTATGAATATGGAGGTGATGAAGGGGAATATTTTGAACTTGGTGTCCCCCATGGATGTGGTGTTGGAGCCCTGACTGGAGGAAAGAATGGGCATTTACATAATATACAAGCTTGGTATGGGAAGATACATACAGCTACGCAGAGTATTACACAGGTTTATTACTTCCCGACTGAGAAAAGATGGCCTAATGAATCCATGTTTGGGAATACACATAAAGATACAACAGTGTTTAGAGATGAAGGAATTGACTTCAATGCTCATACTTATAGAATAGACACTGTCAAGGTTTATCATACGAATAGGGTTAAAGGAATTCAGATAATATATGAGATTGATGGGACTTATCATTATGGGACAAAGCACCAAGCTTCCTTTGATTACAATGAAGAAGAAATGCAAACAACTATGATTAATTTAGAAGTCGATGAATTTATTATAGGAATTAGCGGAAAACTTACTAAAATTATCACTAATCTTACCTTCAAGACTAGTAAAGGAAGAGAGATCTCTTGTGGAGGAGATGAAGGGGATGATTTCCAACTCGGAGTCCCACCAGGTGATTGTATCGGTATCATTGAAGGGGGCAAAAATGGAGATATCCACAATATTAAGATCTTCACTGGGCCTATGCCACAAGTAATGACTACTAGATGGTAATGAATAAGATTTATTCAATTTATTTATTAAAAAAGGGGTTTTGGGGTTTTGGGGTTTTGGGG